TTATCTCCCCCCCCCCCCCCCCCCCCCTTAGTGAGTACAGGTTAACAGCCCATTTAGAAAACTACCTTGCACATTTTCTGTTAGAGTAGTATCTTATATCATTTCTAGCAAAGGAAATAAGTACCAGTTACTGATTTTGTTAGTTTTAATTTGGCAATCCCTGATGACTGTTTTCAAGAAGATGTTTAAACATACCAGGATAGCTGTGAGTTGTACAGCCTTTTTAAAATTCTCCCTAGACTTACTTCGTGATGGTGACTTTTGTTCAGTCTTTTTGATTTCATTAAATACTGTGGTGTGGTGGTATTATTACAATTTGAGTGTCTTCTGGTGAGAAAAGACTTCCTGTACCAACACTGATTTACCTGTTGCTTGTGCTTTAATAAATGTTTTCCAAAAAAGATGAAAAGATGTGAATGCCAGAAAGTTTCAGACACATATGTAAATGTACTCCTTAAATACAGTAGTACTTAGCTACTGTAGTGGTAGGCACAGTAGGAGAATATATGGGTGAGACAGGCATGTTCAGCATACATATGCAGTATGTTTGCGTGAGCCAAAACCTTGCTTTTTTATTTAAAATTCCTAGAAAAGCATTTGGAAAACTGACTGTAAGAGCAGTACTGTCATTAATTTTAAATGTTGCTGCCAGCAGTCTCTTTGAGCCTTGCTGACTGGAACCTACTTTCAATTGCAGGACAAGGTGTGGTGATGGAGCGCTCTCCCTACAGCGACTTCGTGTTTCTGGATGCAATGTTTAAACAAGGCTATATCCACAAGCGATGTAAGTTGCTTGCATGCAAAAGGAATTTATTTTGCCATAATCTGTCGGAAGTGTGGTAGTTTAGCTTTCAAAAAAGAAACAAAAATGCCTGCTTGGAAGATGGGCTCCTTTGAATATTCAGAGTTGTTCATAAGGTGCTTAGCAGCTTGCTGTTCCATGCATCACGGACCAACCTCAAGCCATGAGACTTCCAGTTTTTCTTCAAGGCTTTGGTTCTGCTTATATGTTAAAGAACATGTATTCTGTGTATTGCTTGTGTCCTGTCAGCCAGACTTCCTGTAGTTCCCTGGAAATGTGGATGAGCATGCTGATGAAGACTAGAGGTCCCTCAGGCAGACCTTGATCTTGCAGCATTAGGTGGGAGGTAAATAATGGATCAACAAGGTTTGGCCTACTTGCCTTAAATGGCCAGCTCCCTTCTGAATCTCAAAAGAACACAAATGTTGCTCTTGTCTTCAGAGAGGGCAAGGAGGAGGATCCAGGGAGCTACAGGCCAGTCAGCCTCAGCTTGATCTGTGGAAAGGTGATGGAGCAAATCCTCCTTGAAGCCATTTCCAAACATGGAGAATGTGAAGGTGATGGAGAATAGTCATCATGAAAGGGAAATCCTGCTTAAACACCTGATAGTCAGCTCCTTGTAGAAGGCTAGCTCAGTGGATGAGGGGAGAGCAATGGCTCTTGTTTATCTTGACTTCAGCAAGGCTTTCAATACCTGTCTCATAACCTCCTTGCTGACAAACTGATGAAGTATGGGCTAAATATATGGGTAGTGATGTGGATTGAAAACCGCTGGTCTCAAAGGGTTGTGGTAAGTTGTGCGAAGTCCAACTGGAAGCTAATCACTAATGTTGTATCCCAGGGGAGGATACTGGGGCCAAAGCAGGTTTAAAGTGGGTTTAAAACGTGTGTGACAGGACACAGTGGAGCCTCAGCAGATTTGCAGGTGATGCAAAATTGAGAGGGGAGTGGTTGACACACTGTATGTTTTTGGTGCTGTTCAGAGGAACCTGGGCAGGCTGGAGAAGTGGTTGGATGTTAACCTCATGAAGTTCTACAAAAGGGAATTTTGCACCTGGGAAGGAATAACTGCAGGCTTGCCGTATACACTGGGAGCCAACTGTCTAGAAAATTATGCAGAGGAGGACCTGGGGGTCCTGGTGGACACCAAGTTGAATGTGAGCCAGCAATGTGCCCTTGCACCAAAGGATGCCATCGGGATGCTGCATGAAGAGTGTTGTCAGCAGGTCAAGGGAGGTGATAGCCAAATCTGGAGTGTTGTGCCCATTTCTGGGCTACCAGTTGAAAAAAAGGTGTCAACTTATTGGAGCAAGTCTAGCAAAGGTCACTAAGAAACTAGAGCATCCAGTGTATGAGTTGAAGCTGAGAGAGCTGGGATGTTTTTGGTCTTGAGAAGAAAAGGCTCAGGGGGATGTGTGTAAATACCTGATGGTATTTATGTGTATAAATATTTGATGGGTAGGAGTATTGGATGGAACCAGTCTTTTCTCAGTGGCACCTAGTGAGAGGACAAAAGGCAAAGGGCACAGACTGAAATACAAGGAGTTCCGTTTATAAGAAAAAACATTTTCTGCTGTGAAGGTAGTCAAACCCTGCAGCAGGTTGCCTGGGTAGGCTGTGGGATCTCTGTCCTGGAGATACTCGGAACCCTGTGGGACCCAGTCCTGAGCCATCTGCTCTAGTTGATCCCGCTCTGAGCAGAGTGGTTGAACCAGCTGATCTGTAGATGTTCCAGCCTCAGTGATTCTGTGGTTCAGGGTTATGGGTACTGAGCTCTTGAGCAGCACAGTGTTTCTGTGCTGGTGCCTTGTGGGCAGGCTTGTAGAGTCTCCATCCCTGGGCTAGGAATGGAGCGGTTCTGTGGCACATGTAGCAGACCAGCCACAGCCCAAACATGCAAACTTAAAGCTGCACGGAAGTTTGAAAGTCTGGAGAAAATAGCTGTAAATCCCAGTCATCAGCTGACCTCTAAATAAATTGCTATTGAAACTCCTGTTTCTGCCTGTTCTTAGCAAATCTGGCATTTTGGCTACTCCTGAGGTGAAGGTAATTGTTTCCCTGACTGCCTTGGGTTTCTGCTGCCTTGTTTGATTTGGCTTAGGTTTAGGAGCTGTGTATTTATTTTTTAAGACCCCTAAGTTGCAACTTCTTGCTGAATGAGTTTGAGAGCTGGTTATAATGAACTGTGTCTTAACTGCTCTGTGCTGGGGAGGCAAGCAAAGCCCAGCAACCACAGTTTATAGTTAATATAAAATTCCGACAACAAATAATGGATTGTACTGAAATCCTTAAGCAGCAAACATCTCGATTAGAGGTACTGCTGACTGCTGCTTACTGTGCTGCCAAGCACAGTAGGCTTTAAATTTTTCACAAACCATTTGAATTTGAAAGCCTGGCACTACATTTCTGGCTAAGCTGGTGAGTCTTACTGAGGACAGCTTGCACTTCAGCCAGGTCAAATGGAGCTTGTGCTATTCATGCTACTTAAATGTTGAATAGATGCTTTCCCTGAACCTGCATGGCTTCCTAATCACAAGCTATGACCCCCCAAATTCTTTAGGAATTTGACTGATGTGGTAGAAAAACCCAGTTGCACGGAACTGACCAACTCCCCTCAGATACATTTTTCTGTATGGGAAGGTGAGGTCCTCCAGTCCTATCCTCTGAAGCGGAGTCTGGTTGTTGTGTTTTTGGAGAGGTCTGCTGTTGCTTGTGTAGAGCACAGAGCTCTTGAGTAACAGTAGTGCAGAGTATGCCTCCAGTACAGGTGAGGGAGGGACACTGCTGGGTTGGTGACCTCTTAAAATACTTGCTTCACCGCAGCATGATTTTGTGTATGCATCGGAGAGCAAGGCAAATGCCTGCCTGATCCTTGGGTTTCCTCCCATGGTGGGAAGTGGAGTACTTCTTGCAAAGTCCTCTTGAAGCATGTGACTTTTTTTTCCGTTACAACCTTTGCCACACTATCATCTTTGTGGTAGGACAGGGCCACTTATTTCGTGTATGAGGCTGTGGCAGAAGGCAGCCCCAGCCAGTGGTCACCTCAGGTGACCTGAGTGCTGCAGTCTCTCCATGATGTTTCAAGGGTCTGTCTCTAAACAACAGAGGAAAAACCTAGGTTTCTCTAAAATTAAGTCAGAAATAAATCCCCCCTTTGATATAACTGATGTTAGATTTTTACATCTCAGTGCTTGTAGCTTCTTAGTTTAATTGTGTTTTTCTTTCTGTTTCTGGAAGATTTTTTTATTCTAAAAACTTCCTGAATCCTATTTGAGGAAAAGCCTACCCTAAACTTGCTAAACCAGCCAAGAAGAGACTACAAATATAAAGGTGGGGGATGTGGTTTATTTGCAAATAGAATGTGTTTAGCAAATGCAGGAAAAAACACTCAAGAAATGATTGCAGATTCATTACCCCAATTTTAATGCTGTTCCTATTGCACTTGTCCTCATTTGGAATGTGTGTATGTATTCAGCTGAGCTGCCTTTGGCTCTCCAGTGTGCTTGGTTTTGTTTTTATACAGGCCTTGATCACTACAACGAGATCAAAGACATCAGCATTTGTGAATTCCTGCCACCTCACTTGGTCATTTATATAGATGTACCCGTCCCAGAGGTGCAGAAGAGGATTCAAGAGAAAGGAGAGGTAATTTTCTCTCTTGCCACTGTTACTACCTATTAATGTCTGTTGTAGTTATGCACTTATGTGTGATTTCCATGGGGTTTGATGCAAAATTCTGCTTCAGAAAAGCTTCCTGTCCTCTTAAGTATAAGAACTGTGTTGGTGATGACTGGGTATTCTGGTATGCTTGATTTAAAAAAAAAAAAAAAAAAAAAAAAAAATCGCCTTTTTTTTAAACTGCATCAGCATGCTGTCTTTTTCTGTAACGAGAAGTTCTATAAAATTCACCTGCTCTTAAAAACCAGCCTTTGTAGCTGCCATTTCAGGAGTCATGTCCAGGTAATATGCTTCTTGCAATATACTCCAAGATTATCTGTACTTCCTCAGTGCCACAAGCTCCAGCTGTGGTCCTTGTCTCCAGCTTCCCCAGCTGACTACTTTTCAGACATGGTGATGTTAGTGTGGGTCAGTTGTGATCAGCAAGTTTAGTTAACTTTCTGAAATTAGGAGAACTACTGCTTGGTGCTTTTGTGTTAACACAGCGTAACCACCAACTTTAAACTTAAAACTGATTTTGTATAGGTATTCCATGAGATATAAAATCCATGGAGCTTTCTGGCTAATGTTGCATAAAGTTCATAAGAAATACAGTTGCTTCTCGTCACTAGTGCAACTTCAATCTAGTCTGAGGTCATGCTATGTGACCCTTACCTATTGTTGATCTTTGACAGTTGTGGGACATTCTCACTTTTGCTTTCAAAACGTTTTCTTTGAGGGTGGCATAGTTCTTGCTTCAAGATGTCTTTTTTGAAGTCATAGTATTGGATGGAGACTACTGTTAAAAAGAAAATTGAGTCGGTCTGTAGCATTGTCTTCAAATTACCTTTCTCATTATATCACCATATTGGATTACTGGGTTATTGAAATAGTCTTGGATCAGAAAAGCTGTAGAGTTTTTTTAATATAATGACTAATCTAAATAAGGTTTTTGGTTTGAGTTCTTCCCCCTCCTGTGATATTTGGACATGTGTTTGTAACTGTTCTCAGATGTGTTACAAGGATTAAATGGTGTTTACCTGGTACCTTGTTCAAAGGCTGAGGGAAATTGTAGGCAAGTGAAGTATCTAACTGTGGAAAGCCTGACAGATTCAAAGAAAACTTGGATTTATTACTAAAAAATTCTCGGGTCTCTTAAATGCTTGGCAACGCTTGCTTCTTGGAGCATGTATGTGTATGTTAGTGTGCTAGGGTGATCTCGCAGCATTTCGTTTTGCAGTTTCCTGCTCATTTAAGAGGGAGAATGATGATTGCCGAAGGGAAGTGACTTCAGAGCAGTAAATGGAAGGCTGCCCTTGCTGCTTCGTGATCTCTGTGGCCTGGCTTGCTTAGTCTACTGGTCAAGTGACTCTCCCCTTCTGCCCTCCAGCAGTTTAGGCCATGACTGAACGTGCTTCTGCGCTTCAACGAACAAGATTCTTTTGTATAGGAAAACCATAGCTTTTTTGTTTTAGCAATTTCAGTGACAGAATTAGAAGCTTCTTAATGTATTGTGGGAACCTGTGAGTTCTTTGCCCTTGTGAGCATAAAGGTCCATGGCATTTTTGAGACGTAGCAGAAATTGCTGCTGTAACTGGTAACTTCCCTGGGGCAGTGGCACTGGTGAACGCTAGTGCTTGTTTGGGGATGGTATTTTTGGAACTTCTGCCTTCCTGGTGCATGTAGTGTTTGATTGGTACTCAGCATGCTGTTGTTGTAGGGCACTGGAAAAAGAAAAGCCCTCCAGTGAGCCCAACTAGCAGAGACATAGATCCTTCCAACATAATGGGCAGCTTGGATGAACATTTCAAGCAGGAAATGTAATTTAATTTTAGAATTGAAGGAACACTTGGTAGATTGGAGAAATGCATGGCATTTTGCAAATCTGGCATTAAAGTACACCGTGTGGCAGATGCTGCTGGTGGCGAACTGTGTAACAGCGGGTATAATAGCCATGAAATCTCAAAGAAAGATTTTTGGAGTGGGTGGTCGCTTGTGCACGTGTCTGAAACTGGAGAAGTGGGTGCACATTGGCCTTGTCATTGAAAAGGCAGACTTGGACAATCTGTTCTATGATTATCCTTTTTTTTTAGATGATTATGCAGGTAGCTAGGATTAATCAGTCCTTGGAAAGTTAAACTTTTTGAGACTGTTGATGTATGGTACTTTTAGTTTATGCAAGCTCAGAGAAAACAAGGTGTTTACTGTAACAAACTGAAATAAATTGCGAGAAAGTTTATTTTGCTTTTACATTCTTCTGTTGAATCTGCTTTTCCCTTTCTTTCTAGATTCACTAGCATATCAGAAGAATCTTACTCATATGGCTAATTATTAAACAATGGACATAATAGTACATGGTAAAGCAGTGATTAATGCAGACTTGTTCCTTGGGGTACTCTAGATATTTAGTGCCACATAAGAAATTCTAAACATTCCAACTGTCTTAATTCTTAAAATTTTCATTAATGTGTATGTGGTTCACTGGATATTTGGCTGCTAATACAAGAGTGAGCTCTTGACAGATGGTATAACAGTGCCTTCTGCTTAGACTGGAACCTACGTTGGTAAGAAAAGAAAACTCATTTCACAATATTGTTTTCTGTTTGTTTCTAGCCATATGAGAAAAAGGTGTCTGCTTTGTATCTCCAGAACATTGAGGACGCTTACAAGAAAACTTTCTTACCGGAGATCAGGTTAGCAAACCAAACTGTTTTGTCTGAGTTTTTGAGTAAAAATGAGTGCAAATCCTAAAATCTCTGCCAATATAAGCAAATAAAACCATGTCATGTGAGAAATCCTCTTTGTGCTACATGGTACACTATTATGTCTTAATGAATGGAGTATTGCATCCATGGCATACTAACTGTGTATACTCGTGTGTAGTTACGTCTGGCATCTGAAAAGCCTGATGTCAGTGTAACAATGTCGGAAAACTAAAAACGAAGTCTTTTTAGGTGTAAGCTTTGTAAAGTAATGGTTTTTGACTGAAAAGATTAAGAGTGGGTGAAGTGTTGTACAATAGTAAATTAACTGGACTTCATTAATTGACCTATCTAATATCATGGAATCATAGTCATTTACATTGGAAAAGACCTTTAAGGTCAGGGAGTCCTGCCACAGTATGTTGCAAATAATGTTGCAAAGCTAATGAGCCCCAATCTGCAGTATGGTTTTTTCATCCTGCTGTCTTGGGGCATTGCAACTTTGCTGTCATGCAGTTGGATACAGGGAAGCATAAATTTGTTCATAGTTAAGAGCACTTCAGCAGCAAAGGCAGAAATCTGGTCTGTGTTTGCTCTGCAAAACAAGTTCTGTCTCCCTCTTCTGACAGTGCTCTGTGTGGTTGGTGTTGACACCTTTGTTTCTCTTTCTGTTAGCTCACAACAGTGGTTGGAGTGTTTTCTTGGAGTGATGTCCAGAATGCTATGGCTATAGCAGTGTGTGTGTGTTTGCATGACTTGAGGAGCGTGTGATGCAATATAAACTTTTCTCAGGCCTTTTTGGAAAGTTTGGGATTTTTCTCTCTCAAAACCACCTTTCAGTTGCCATAGCTTTGGCTAGTTTCTTGATAGTGATGCAAAATCAAAGGAGAAAGAGGTTTTCGGGTAAGGACTTGTTCCCTCTTCTGCTTCTGTTTCTCCACCTCATGAGGCATATACCTGACAGCCTTCTGCATTGGAAAAGGATTTGATGGACTTGTTGGTGCTGTTAAAGAGTGCACTGCTACCAGCTCTGAGAGTCTAAAGGTGCTCTTCTCTGGGCTCCCCTGGCTTTCTCTAACTGGGAAGCAAGAATGAGTGCCCTGTAAACTTGAGATGAGTAGACTATTACAGTTTGCCAGCTGTCCCAATTCTTATAGAAGAGGTCTATCAAAAATCAAACTGTCTTAAAAATCTAAAAGCATATGAATGCAAGCAATCTTGGTCCCTCATAAACAGATAGCTTTCTGGAAGGGGAAACTCTTAAAGGTCACAGAGCCAGGCCTACTTTACATAAAACGATCTAATCATGCAAGGTTCGGTGTGTGGATGAACCTGACTGTTTAAGTCAAAGTAGATCTTCAGGTATATTGTAGCCTGCTTGTTTCCCCTTGCTTTCTTGCTCCATCTCGCAAGGTAAATCAGTGTAATTGTGCTGTCAGCAATTGAACTGAATAACTTCATATTGAGCTTGTCATTCATACAGGGCAGAAGCTGATGGTGCGATGTACGGTCAGTTGCCTCCCAGTGCGTCCCCCACAGGTTAGCAGCCAGCACATGGCGCTCAGAAGGAAACAGGGGCTAAGGATGGAGAGGGAGGGTGGGAAGCCTTGGGACTGTCATCCCCCTGAGGGCAGAACTGTTTTGAATTTACTGGTGAGGAGAAAAATGCTGCTTGTTCTTTGGATCAAATCGAGCCCCAGAAATATACCGTGGTGTTTAGTGAGGCTAAATCCTAGACCTGGTCCTGCTGTGATTTCAACTCTTTCCCCTTTGTCTGTACATGGTCAGTACACTTGTTAAGCAAACACCCTCTGGTTGGCATCCTCATCAGCAGATGGGCTTACAATAGCTTGTCAGATCAATCTTTGTGCTCGGGTCTGAAGAAGGACGTCTCTGTCCCCTTGATGTGGGGGAGTTGTGAATGTGTGAAACTTCAGCTTTGTACATCTCTGGACCTTGCTGATGGCTTGTATATTGGATAAATATACAGAAGCTTCAACTGTCTTTGTTCACTGGCTCGCAGAGTGATGCAGTGAACTATATTCATGCCTGGCTATTAGTCTCTAGGCAGACTAAGTATTATTTGATTCCCTAACTCTTGAGGATGACCAAAATCTGGTTCAAACAGGCTAAAAAGAGTTGACCGTTGAACCAACTCCTGCATACTTTCCATGTTCCAGCTTATATTTGCTTGTTCTCTTGCTTTTCTTGAAATGCAGGAGGAAAATAGTGTAGTTTGTTACTTAGCAAAATTCCTGTTATCTTGTTCCATTTAATTGGAGCAACTTGATACTGCTTGAAGTCCTGTGTTTTATAGTGGATATTTGACTATGTTAAAATTGGTGCTTCCTTTCTAGTCTGACATGTTTATGATTGTCTTTTTAATGTGTCTTTTGATAGTGATTTGTGAGCCTGGTGCTGTGGCAGGTACTACCTTGTGATTTCGAACAGACCGCTTTTGGTTTTTGTTTGGTTGTTCTTTTCCTGGACTAAAGCCCTAAGATTGCTAATCTTCTCTTTCATATCCAGTACTGCTTCCACAGAGCAGCTGTTTTCTCTTAATGAAAGCCCTAATAATCTGCAGAGTATCAAGTGATTTGATCTGTGTTGTTAATGCAATTGCCTCTGGCATATATGAAGTCTAACCTCTCCCTTTGATTACTGATAGTTGATATTGAAGATGCGAGTATGCATGCTACACTGTCACAGCAGCTCCCTTTGAAAGGAGGCCTTTTCTTTCTGTGGCTGAAGAGTTGTGTGAGGCTTTCTGCTTTGTTCTCAAGTTGAGAACAAACTCTTTAAGTATTTTCCCTTCTATGAGCACCAGTTGAATGGCTGACTGTAAGAGCTTGGGGGTTTGTAGGAATAAAAGGCATTTTATATATGAACTTTTTTTACCAGAGCTGTTTTGACTGACCAGTGTTAATGCAGACCAGGAACTAGTTTGGACTGCTGCAATTATAAATTATTTTAATAATGTGACTACTTAGAACAACTTAGATTGCCAACCTTTATCCTGATTAAACTTGGAAGTGGTTGTGCTAAGCAAAAAGTCTGTAAATTCTTCTCCATGCTCTTCAGCTTTGCTATGTGTTGTTTGATATACCGTGCACATTTGGCATCCATTTTGTTTTCTCTTAAGTTTTTGTTAGCTAAAGGAAAGGTCTACCAGGGCAGCTGGAGCAGGTTTGGGAACAACTGTTACTGAGGGCAGCTCTGTGTATGTAGTAGTGAACCATATTCATATAGGAATTCCTTTTGTGGCCCAGCTCTGCAAGTGACTTTTCTATGAAGGCTGCTGTATGAATAAGAAAACAATCTTGTAACCAGTAAGCTACTACCTGTTTTAAATGTTTTTATACTTACAGATCCTGCTGCCTGCATTGTATTGGTTTAGTTAGCTCAGTCTTAGTAAATAAGAATGAATTAATGTATTCTTCTCTTAAAAATTACTCACAGGTATCAATGTACTTGTAAAAAGGAAGGTCTGCAGAAGTTTTGGGTTAGACTGGTTGAAAATTTCACTTGGCTTCAAATAGACTGGGAAATTGTAATTGGGGCAAGTGTCCACATTAATGAAATGGAAACAAATTCATAGGTGAGATTTTTTTTTAACTGAAACTATTTAGATCCCACAGGCCATTTGCTCTTTAAAAACAATTTTCCACCAGGAAAGCAGCAACTTACAGGTCTAATAGGAGTTCTATTGGAAGAACTCTGTAAGCATTCTAAAAAATTGCAAAGATTCTGGTTCTGTGTTTGTGCCTTTTAACTTTTATTTCTGCTTCATTTTGGAACAGGGGGGAGAGGATGGGTGGAGCAGTTGTATTGGGGGAATTCAATTTTTTTCCTCTTTGCAGCGAGACCAGTGAAGTTCTGCAGTACACAGCAACTGAGGCAGAGGATGTGGAGAAGGTAAGAGTTTGCTGCATACGTTGATGATTTTTTTTTTTTTTAAAAACTTCAAAGACTGGAATGTAAAGAGAACACGTTGTCCTAGATAAACTTGGTTAACTACTTAATGCATTTAGTGTTTGTTGCTATGGAAAAGATCTGGGCTGGGTCTGTACTAGAATATTTTGATAAGTGAGTGTTGTTTTGTCAAAGTGGAAATCTCATCCCCCATCCCTCTTGCCAAGATACCTGGCTGGCTGAGCGAGCAAAACCCCCTTTAGGTCACATGATTATCGCTAATAATTTTGTTAGTGTCTTTTGTCTGATGTAACTTATGCCAGGGGTTTACAAATTTGGTTTATTTTTCCAAGCAAATCCTGTGAGGGAGGTGGAAGCAGCATTTTCTGAGTCCCTGCTGGGCTGTACAATGTTTGGCTGTTCAGTCAGCATCCCTGTTTGAAGTGGCTGGTGGGGTGGGCAAGGCTCTGCATAGCTCAGTTTGGGAACTAATGACTAATTAACCAAGAGCTAAGTCACCCCCAGCATTCAGCTGAGACCTTACCAGTATAAGGTCTCTCTCTGTTGGCATTTGCCATTTTGCAGCTTCCTGTGATCCAGGTTGGTGCACAGGTTCCTATGTGATTAAAATAGCTGTTGTTTTCTAAAAGCTTGTTGTTATTTGGTTATAGCAAACAGCTGGATAACCAGGGCTGTTACCCTGGGTTATTCATCTGTATTGGCTAGCATGTGGTATCTAAACTGCAGTTTTTTCTCCAAATGGTTTTGCCAGACACGTTAGCCCTGGACCAAGCCAGATAAATTGCCTTCTCATTGCTAGAAATAAGCCATCTTTTATCCTGTGACAGGATTAAGGTGAGATCACTGCTTCCTCCTACTCCACTGTGTTATTTTTTGGAGTAGGTATAATGTATTTGCCTTATTTCAGCAAACATTCTTGCTCATGGAGGGCTACTAGTGGGATAACAGAAGCCTTCTGCTTCCGCATTGTTAACTTTTCTCTGTAGCTGCTGTCCCCAGCTGAGAAGAGCAACAAGCGTTTTGTAATTCTGGACAGGTTTGTAGTGGGCCCATTTCAGTTCTAGGGATGAAAGTTACACAGTGAATCCTTCAAAGCTCACTTGAATTCTGTGATAGCGATAAGGATCTCAGCTGCACTATATCTTTTCAGATATGTCTTGCTGATTTTAATATTTTCATCCTCTGTTTCTTGTTTGAAAGCTCTGATAATCCTTCTAGAGGCTGCGTAATGCTCTCCTTTCCTCTGTTGGAGGGGAAAAGAAATATGAGGCTGGTTATATTGCTTTTTGCTTTAGGAAATAGGTCTAGACCTTTGCACAGCAGTTATGTGATTAATTCCTAAATCAGCTGGGAACAGAGAAGTGGCAGGTTGATTACTCTGAGATGGAAAACGTACTAGTTTGGGAAGGGGATAAGGTTGGGAAGGTGTAACAGGCTTTTCCAAATCAGATGCAAAAGGCAAACAACATTTGCTTTAGTATACCAGCACGTGTCCACCCACCTGCGCTATGTATGACATTCAGCTGGTAGCAGGCCATCTTGCTGCAGAGGTTTGTGTGTAGTTTTGTGGGGGCACTTCCAGCTTGCCATGGGACATGTCTTAGAGGCTTTCCTAGCTAAGCCTCCAAGTCAATGCTTAACTAAAGATCCTTAAGCCCAGCTTTGGCATTCGTAGCAAGGGAGGTTTCTGACTGCTTACTGCCTTCGTGGAGTTTTTAAAAAAAAAAAAAAGAAAAAAAAGGCATATTTGAACATTTCTAAGTGTTGACTGGGTTTGACTGGGATCAAGTTAATTTTCTTTGCAAGAGCCCATATGGTGCTGTGCTTTAGATCTGACCAAAACAGTGTTAATAATGCACTGGTATTTTAGCTATTGCTGAGCAGTGCTTGCATGGTGTCAAGACTGTCTGTTTCTCACTCTGCCCCCTGTGATTAGGCTAGGGGTGTGCAGAGGTTTTGGAGGGGAAACAGCTGGGACACCTGACCAAAGGGATATTCCACACCATGTAATGTCAGTCATGGTTAACAATAAAACTGGGAGGAGTTTTTTTCCAAAAAACTGAGAGCAATCCTGGGAGCAAGGATCTCCTGGATCTTTGAGCTTGGTTCCTGCTGCTGGATTTGGTGATTAATCTGTTTCAGTTGGAAGTCTGCGGTAAACTCTCCTCTCTTAAGCCCGACTTTGTTTGGAGGAACAAAGTGTGGATTCTAGTTGGCATCATGCGTGACAATAGCCTGCATCTAATATCCTCGTGTTCCCATGCAAAAGCTTTGTGAAGCAGAAAATACTGATAAGGACTTTCCTGGTCCTAAAAATTTAACCCCTGTTAGCAGCATTGCTGTGCATTTCTAAGCCTTTTAGTTCCCTTTATGAGAATATGGTTGTGTGCTACATTTTGAGTCCTGCCCTGTTGTAGCTGGATTTCTGGACACTCATGCACTTTATAAGAAGTTATCATTACTAACCAGTAGACTTGTCATGCAGTTTGAGTTTATACCCACAGAAAGGGCTGGTGGCTTCAGTGTAGCAGCAGGTAAATATAAGTTCACTGTGAAATCACTTCAGTGAGGCAACTGCTTGCATTTGGAGTACTGCAAAATTTCTAAAATTTCTGAAAATGAGGTGTTTTTGGAAACTTCAAAAAACGCAAAGGCCTTTCCCTTTGATCTGAGATCAACAGTGTTCATTCAGGTAGCTACCTGCAACCTTTACCAGCTGACAATTCTGACATGAATTTGTCTGTATCATTTTCAAGAAGGGAAAAAATGACTGAAGAGGGTAAACCTTCACATTTTGTCTTAGTCCTGAAGTTACTGTTTCCAAATAGCTCTTGAATCTTTGAGGTTTCAGTCTTGTGAAGTACCCCTGTGAAAAAGCGAGAGCGCAGCTTCATTGTTCTTATGTGCATAAAAAATAAAGTATTGGTTTAGTGCTAGCACGGTAGGGGTGCCCTTGCTTCTGGGGTAGGTAAGGCATATAGCAGCTGAAAGGCATTCCTTGTCAAAGTTCACACGCCTGCAGCCACAGTGAAGGTTCAGCTTCGCAGTGAGAAGCAACTTCTGTGGCAAGAAGGATCAGCATCCCAGGAATAATATGTTCTCTGACATATTTTTAGGTTTTGTGTTTGTTTGGTTTTTTTTTTTTGAAGGACAAAAATAATGAAATGGGAAGAAGCTGAAATGAACAAAAAACCAAGGTCAGAGTGTGGATGAGAACATAGAGCAATTATAGTTAGTTTTTTTCCAGATAACATAAAAGAAAGGATAAGATTTGAGAACCATGGTGTTTCAATCAAGAAGGTAGCCCCAGATGTTTGGTAGAAGAAATAAGAGAAAGTTGGGGGGGGGGTTATTTGCTTGTTTTCTTCCCTTTGTTCTCTCTGATCATGTCTTGAAGTGGTCAGAATAAAGCAGTTTGTTTCCTCCCTAGATTTTTTTTGTAGTAAACCCCATTGCTAGAGATTTTATTTTAATCTTTTAAATCAGGGTTTAAAGTCAATCTAAAGCTCTTATTGCTCAAGTAAAGAGTCTACCACGCTCAGCAATCTTGGGTCATCACTGTACATAAGGTCATCAGTATGCACTGATGTAGTTCTTAATTTGGTTGGACAAATCTGGACTAGAGGAAGGATTATTATTTTGAAGTCAAAGTACAAGATGGTATCATTTTCATTGTTAGATGTTAGCTATAGAGATTGGTACTCTTTCCACTTCAAAGGATAATGTTGGGTTTTTTTCCCTTCTGTTCAGATTTATGTTACCTTTGGAATGAAATAGTTGAAATTTGGAAATAAGTGTTGGCAGGAGGGATTTGGCTTTGGCTTGTAGGATGTTTGTTTACACAGGTGTATCCTGTTGATAGATAGCAATGTTTAACTGTTAGCTAGCTTCAGTCTACAGATTATTTGCTATGTGATTTGGAGCTTAATTTTTTGGTGACCTTATACTTTAATGACTTTTGATTTGCTTATAGCAGACATACAGAAGTTAGAAATGACTTGTTTCTGAAGTGTGGTGGTTGGTTTTTTTTTTTTAAAAGATCAGTCGGGGTTTCTTACTGTAATTAACATTGGTTGTAGTTGCTAAAGGAGTAGTAAGTGCCTAAATGAGCTTCATTAGGGTGTTTAAGGCTGCTTTTACATGAGGATGAAACTGGGAATAAAAAGTTATCTATAGGTTTGTGTAATTATTTTTTTTAAAAGCCTTGGATATTAAAAAAGAGGTGGGAGTAGAAAGGAAATAACTTAAAAACTTAACCAAAATTGTTTTAATTCCTCTGTGCTTGTGGATAGTGTTTTGTATTACGTATCAGTTTTATTCAATGTCACCAGCTTGTGTTAAATGGAGAAGATGGTGAAGATGGGAGGCTGCTGACTGACCAACTTTGTGCTGTGCCCTTTGCAAGTGCAGAAGTGAAAGGCTCCAGGGCTAGCTTGCATGAATTTTTCAGTTGTAGGTGCTGTATGTGGGCTGAGCTCCTTCCTGCAAGCTGTGGTCTGAACTCTGTGGGGTTGTAGACTGCATTGCTTCTTGTGTCCGTCTCTTGCTTAAAGGAAAGACCTACGAGGAAGGAGTTTGGGGAGAAGTCAGCTGACAGCGCAACCTATTGAGGTTTGGTGTCTTTGTCCCCAGAAATGATATGAATAGGAACAGTGTCACCTTCTACTGCCTGCCACCCCCTCAAGTCTTCCAACAGCAGCAATCACCAAATCACTGTGAAACAAGCTTAGAAATTGTAAGCTGTTCGTATTGGCTTAGTTGCAAAGATTATGGTAAGGGGTCTCATTATTGAAACCATTTTTTCTAAATCCTGCTATGCTCTGCAATATATTAAGACCTGATCTCTCCTGGATATTATTACAAGTTGTGCTGCAGTCAGGTTTAAATCATTCATTTGCTGCTAATTCCCAGGGGGTGCCAGGGCATTCCTTATAAATTAAAGAGCTGCTGTTCTAGCCTGGTTGGGAGGCTGATACCATTGTTAAGCAGCTGCTGGGAGAGATATCTTCTGATATGATAATAAGAGTGTGCAAAACTAATTTGGATACAGATTTCTTTTTCCCTGCAACATATTCTGAGCCCTATTGTTAGCAACTCTATTCTTAGTCCTGTCATCAGCCGTAGCGGGGAGTTTCCAAAGCTTTGCTGTGGGGTAGGGAAGTAATTGCTTTTGCATAGCTAATGGGAAGTATGGTGAAGGTTCAGCTTTTAAATTAAATAATTAAAATAGATAATGGATATTTTAACTAACTTACATATACTTTTCTTTCTCTTTACATCTTTAAATGCTTGTCTTGGGGAGTTATGTTACAGCACTTTGGTAGGAAGAAGCAGTTTCTAAGTAAAATTTTGAAAACTCTTCTAAATGTATGTGGTGCAGTTTTCTGTAGTGTTTTTTGAGGACTGGAACGTTTTTGCATCAAAAGGTGGATTTCTTGGCTTTTTTCTTTATGTGAAAAGTAGGTTTCTCATGCTCTCAGCTACATTATCTGGCTTGCCAACTTTGTCTCTTTGTAAGAGATCAGGAATGGTTAAAGAGCATCTAAACTTGCTTGAAGTTTTAAATATGCTTTGGTGATGTCATGTCAACTGTATTTTTTACGTCTTTATCAGCAAAATTAGTCTTTAAGAAATGTAAATGCCTCAAGGAGAATGATCATGCAGTCATATCTCTAAGTCATTATTTTGTACCATAAAAACATAATACTGGTAATAGAGTGGACCTTTATAGTCAAAACTACTTTGTAATAGCACTTTGCTATTGCCTTTTAAGTGGTAATAGATGGGATTTAGTGTTTGTTGTGATTGCAGGGAATAGTTATAGTGGATTTAATGTACAATAAAGAATAGAAGCATTTTTCTTTTATTATTCTATCACTCACTTTATTACTGGCATCTGCTTACTTGATGTCAATGGATTGACAATGTGTCATCAGGATTTTGGTCCTGACCTCACAGCTTTATCCTTTCCTTCTGGAAGAGGCCTCTGAAAAGTGGTGTTTGGAGCTTTAACAATCCACTCCTTCCCAAGTTGCATCAAGGTACTATCTCCACCTCATCCTGAACCTTAAGTGTGTCCTCCCGACACTAGTTCAGGTTTCCTTCAGACCTAGTCAGTCGGGTGTGATAACCTCAGGCTTGTGTTAAGCAATTACCCAGTGGACCAGCAAAGATCTGTTTTCTGGTGGAGCCAGGCTGCAAGTGAAGCTCAAATATGGGATTGATAAGTTTGGGGATGCTGAAAGAATTATTTGCTGAGCTGGTGTTACTTGTTTGAATGGTTCCGGGTGCTCAGCTGTGAGTTTTACCTTTCCTTTCTGCTTGGGGTGCATGCATGCATGGGTAGGTCCTGATGACCGATGAAATTGTGAGCCTTTGGACTTCCGTCAGTATGGCTACTCCAAGTGTAAACATGCCTCGGTTTCTGTGATGTGAACCACACACAGCAACACTGAGAGACAATTGCCATAATTGCTCTTCAACCTGTCTCAGTCAGTATGCCACTGAGCCTTTTTTTTTGGGGGGGGGGGGGGCTTCCTTTGTACCATGAGGGTTTTTGTTTGCAACAACAGGGAGTTAAATTTAGACTTACTTCTGTTTCTTCCTGATTCTACCTTAGAGGTGGGGTTGTACCTTCTTTGCTTCCTTTCAGCCCCAATGGCAGGTTGAGGAAGAGTGTCTTGGATCAGTTAAGAATTTGGAAATAAAGCACTTCTCAGCCGATGTATTCCCTGCCATCCTCTGCTCACCAAGGCTAAAAGCACCAGGAACTTTAGAGCTGGCCCCCATGTGTCTGCCCAGTGCTTATGGTAGGGCTACGACCTCCAGAAGAAATATGACTGGGAGATGATTTGTTAGCTCTAACAATTTGTATTGTTAATACAGCTTTAGCAGTGAAGCCTTTTTGCTGGGTGACTTGTTTAATAATATATTTTGATCGTTTTATTGATTTGGGGGGCATGTTCGTTGATTTTTGGATGTTCTGGTCAAACCACCTCTTAGTGTGATTTTTATCTTCTGATTCCAGGTAACTGAAGACATTGAGTACCTTAAGTTTGACAAGGGGCCATGGCTGGAGCAGGATGATGTTTCTTTCCATCATTTGAGACTTTAGTAAGTATGATGTCTTCCAGTAACTGAACATTTTCCCCTGAGATCTGATGTTAAAGCCTTGAGTTTTCAAAGTGCAAATACGTTTATATTTGCACTCTGACTTTTTTTTTGTCAGAAGTCAGCAGCAATAGCAGGCTTTTGTAATGTCGGTGCTTGGCACTGTAATATGGTGTGGCATTTTGCTGCTGATGATAATTGATTAGACGAGAGACTCCAGATGAGTAGATCCCATTCCACTAATGAAGGATAAGAACTCTCCAGGCATTTCCTAAGTGCTGTGACCTGTGGCCCTTAGGAAGGTATTTTTGTGAGCGCTTCTGTTCCTGGGTGATCACCCAAAAGCATTTAATTTTAAAACAGAGCATTTATGCGGTTGGTGTGGTGGTTTCTGCGCTGCCCTGGCAGCGTGACATCCTTCAACAAAGCTTGTTGACAGAGCAACCTTGTAGCATGTTTTATATGTGGTGCTGTTTAGGTTGGCTGTGTTTAGTGTTTTTTCTAAAACTAGACTAACTTCTTATGCTGTCTGCTTTTAAATTATCTTTCCAGCAGTCAGGAAGCTGGCTGAACAGAGTATGGAGGGGGGAAAGGAATGAAGCAAACTTGGGTGACGGCTCAATAAGTCCTTTTTTCCTCCTTTCCTCTGACTCCCAGTAAATAATCCTAAGTAGAAGCTTTAATCCTAATTCATGGAATGAAGCATTGCAGTTCCATTGTTCATTCTCCATAATAACAAGGGGGATTGTAAAGTACAGCAGCTTAAGGGTGGGTTTTTGTTGTGGTGGGGTTTTTTTTTGTTAAAGATCCTTCTGTCTAGTTAGATGTGAAGAGATCACATCTCTCCATAGATAGTGGCAAGTGCCTTGCTGGAATAGAATCAAATTTGATTATAATAACTCTTTGCAAGTACTCCATGGTTATCTGTCTTTCAATTCAGCTGTGGAGTGCTACTGGTGGGGCTGCATGTGTCCCCAGAGCAATGCTGAAAAGAGAGGTAGCCCTCCAAACTCCAAAATATGTTAAACCAAACCATTGACGTGTATGTAAGGACGTGAGATCAGACCTACACTTTTATCCATATGGTACAGATGAAGCATCAGGAGTGCCATTCTGAAGTCATGTTGATCAACAAAATGTGCTCTGGATAACCATGTATAAAGAATATATCTACACTTGTAAGATCTACACTTGTAAGACTATTAATAGAGGTAACCTTGCACTGAAGTGAGACAGGCTTCCCATTTTGCTAGAACTTAATCTTTAGACTGAATGTGCAGGTAGCAAGTGCAGTATAGTTACTACATTTTTAAAAACAAAATTTAAGAATTCTATTCTTTTCATATTAATTTCTGGTTATCTCACAGGTTAATAGAAACACAGGGATTTTTTTAAATTGAGTATCTGCCATTGAATTTCTGTCTTTATTGTGACAGGCATCGGAGTAGTAAGTTTAACTGTTTTGCAGGCCTCTATTCTTTTCCTTTTACTTTTCTGTTCTGTTAACTTCAAATGCCTCCTAAAATTAGAGATAATGTTCCTTTTCTATGGCCCTGAAGACAGATTGCAGAAGAGCAGTGTTCGTTGGTGTCTAAGAGAAAGAAGTCATGATTCGGGTGCCCTTCCAGTATCTAAGAAGGGGTTTCTTTGTGTAGTAATTAAAGGATAGCATTTGGTAACTTAGACCCTGTAAAACTATCAAAATTATATTTCTTTATAGTCAAGTTGCTTGTTTTCCTATAGCTTCACACTGGTACAGGTACTAAGAAGTGATTATTAATTGCAGAGTGTAGGAGGGAGTTAAAGGAAAGCATACAATTAAAGAGCAGTATATTACGATATTGTATGGAAATTCTACTTCACAGCTGTGGAAGGGAATAAATTGCATTGTTAAGGACTCAATTTTTCATTGAACCCTGGGGAAGGCTGAAAGAATCTCCTGTACAAGGCTCCTGTCATTGTAGATAATATGAAATTATTTCTTCTAATGGCAGCGTGTGGCTGTTTTGAGATCTTACAATGCAACAAACTGCTAATTTAAATGTTCTCGTGGTTTGAGTTTTGCTGTTTCCCTTTGCCTTCAGCATAGCATTGTCAAGATAGCATTTGTATTTGGACATCTGATGAATGTGCTTGGTGTTTGCTTTGAATCTTCATTTGGTGCAGGGGTATTAGGGCATTGATCAAATGTGTAACAACAGATCCTATGCCAGTTTTGAGCCTTGCTCAGCTGAATGAGGCGATTGTGGGCAATATGTTGGGCAGCCTGGGAAAAGCACCTTTATAACTTTTTATAAAAATGTGTAGGTTTGGACATAATCTTTTCTCATGTTAACTCCAGAAGTGTGGGACAGACGTGAGTCTCCCATCACAGCCTGCACAAACTTCACTCATGAAAACATGTCAGGCCCAGTGCCAGACAGAGGACAAATGTGTAAGGACCAAACAAACGCTGCAGCGATTCTGCTGCACGTCTGCAGTGTTGGAATTGTGTCCCGGAGCATCAAATGCCAAACTCAGGTGTTAGTTCATGAATGTTAAAGCTGATGCTTTCCTCGCTTTTTCCAATGCCCAAGTAGAAAAGAGCTTGTGGTACCCAACCTTCTGCAGATTTTCAGGTGTCCCATGCCTACAGTAATTTTTCCCTTTGGAAAGAGTGTTTTAGCACGTTCCTGATGGGCTGCCTGTTCCATATGCTGGCACATGCTGCCCTCTCGTGGGTGTTTCTGGAAGGCCGAAGCAGGTATTTGTCTGTTTTTCCATCTGCAATTGCTTCCTTTGCTGACCTCCCAGCATTTTGCACAGCCCACTGATTCTGACTTGGGCTGTTTCAGATCTGATGCTGTCAGAGGGGCAGCACGCTCGGACCAGGCACCGCGGCGGGAGGTAGGGTGTAGAAGGTGTAATCCTGGTCTGGTGCTGAGTGGGCTGTTGGCAGTTTTACCTCCTCCACCTTCAGCTTGTACCAGCGCGTCTGGGGGAAGGGGACTGATGAGCAGGGGTGAGGATAACTTTTTCATTGCACGTATATCGGGTCTAATGCACAGAAATCCCAGCAGGGCCTCTGACTACTTTGGTAATGCAAATAAGTAAGCTAATCAAACCAGTGAGCCGTACCTGTATAAAATCAGTTGCATAATGATACCTTTATCTCCCTGCCTTGCCCTTGAATGCTCTTTCCCTTGCCCTAATAGAGTAGTGTGCTTGTGGGACTGAGGCATGTCTTGGTAAAAGGTTAAAAATGTGTATATTTGTGTATGTAAGCTGGAGGGATCTCCGAGAGGATGCTCTTTACACCCTTCCTTCCTCTCCAGGTGCTGAGCCCAACAGAAACCATTCTGCTGGCTTTTTGAAATGTCTCAAGGAGTTCCTCTGTTGCCACTGCACTGTCTCAAGCATGTTTTTATCTGTGCCCTTCCCAGTGAAATCGTGTGACTGTCTACATGCATTGCAAAATAAACAATGTTTTGGAATGAACAGCTGTAGCTTGTGTAACATTGCCTGTGTTGCTTTACCAGCTGGTGGGTGGAGCTTACTGCATTTGACTTGTTTCATCAGACAAGTCCACAGTTAAATCTGTTACATCCCTGCAGCTCCTTCAGAATTTGCTAGAGTAGAACATATTTTGTATGGACAAATCTTTGGCTTTTTTCAGCCACCACTAATTTCATTTAAAAAAAAGGCATTTGTTTTATCTTGATGAAAAGGGGATCTATTTACATTTGGAAACAATCTAGCCATGAAATAGTTTGCCACTCTCATCTGTTCAGTTTTGTTCATTAATAACTATTAGTGTGCCACAAACCCTGTGTAGTAAATCCTCCAGTATTGTACTTGGCAGGACATGAGACATATTTTGAAGTTGTTACTGAAGGACCGTGTATGTGCAGTGACTAGTAATTTCTAAGTTCTCTTAACATTTGTTTAGCTTCTTGGAGTTTTTCCTAACCCCAGAGCTTGGCTCCTATTTCTTTTCTGTACATCTTGCTCTGGTTAAATGAAATGTTGCAACAATGAAGCATGGGAGTGAATGAGGGAGAGTGACCCTTCAGCTCTGTTTCACAGTGTAATTGAGCATGCTTAGCAAAGGGAAGAAGTTTCCATGTTTCAATGTCTATCTTTGATTTCAAATAGCAGGATTGGAATGCTTGCAAGAGGTGTATTGGACTTGTTTTTGAAACTTTTTGTAATGGAGACTCCAAAATCTCATAAACCATTAATTGTAAAACTTCTGGCGCTATTAAAAACTGCTTCCTTTAGCACCTTACTTTTCTCTTGCTTCAATTGAAATAGTTCTTTGTAGTTTCCTCTTTGCAGTAGCTTTTTATAGATTTGAAGAACTGTTGTTGCACCTTCTCACCTTCTCTTGCAGACCTGCTTTACTTGGAAAGCTCTTTTTTCTTTCTTGATGTTCATGGTGAGTGTTTGTTGCTCACCAAGGGAGTGGCCATGGTTCACCTTGGGCATGGCATACTTTTTCTGCCTAACCAAATGGTGGAGTCCCTTTGGCAGAAGGTCTGTATGTCATTGTCTTGTCTTTACTAAGTTCTGGAGAATATGGGCAAGGAAAGACATCTGGGGGGGACGCACAGCCCATGGCTGTCCTGTGTGCCTGCTGAATGAGCGCAGAAACAGAGGAGGTCAGTATGGCAAGAGTTGGATGCAGGAACCATCTCTCCCACCCAGCTCTATGTGCCTGTGGCATGAGTCAGGAGCATTTCTCCTTTCCCCTGCTCTCACAAGCATGGGCAAAATCATGAGCGTATCACACGCTTGCTGGCTCACTCGCACGTGTTGTACCCTACCCCCGGGAGGCAGGGAAGCCAACCGCAGCAGGGGTTGCAGAGCCCTGGCCGAGGTAATAAGGGTGTGAAGAGCAGAGGAATGAATGCCACCCACTCAGATTCAAACCTGAAACACAATAACTGGTTGGTGAGAAGCTAGTTTCAAGGTGTGCGAGAATATCTTCTGTTTTCCAGTGGGATCTACCTGCTATTTCTCAAGTTACTTAACATGTTTAAGCGCAGAATTAACTTGATATGCTTTGTGTTGCTGGCTCTAAGCCTCTTAGACCAGTGAATGCTTTTAGGTAGGAAGTGCAGTTTTCTAATACTGTGTATATTGTCACTTCAGTTTTTGACTATGTCAACATCAGTTGTTGAGAAATCATGGCGCAGGCTATGCAAACTGGGGTTTTTGTTTGGTTGACTGGTTTATTTTTCTTCCAGTCTACTTCCTTTACCCTATATTGCACCTTTAGCAAATACGTTCATAAGACTTTCTAATGTTCATTGTGATAGGCCATCTTGGGACTCTGTTTTATACAGAGGTGGGGAAAAAAAAGCTAAGGTCCTGGAAACAGAAGTTCTAGAAAGTATATCCAGCTGATGAAAGAGCTGCACTAACTTCAGGATGGCTTGTAATACTTGTGAGTCATCAGGTTTCTGCAGGTTCCCTATAAAATTTGTGTATCCTTGTTGTAAGCTGCCTGTAAGGGAAACAGGACATCCTCTGAAGAGAGGCAGGAATGCGTTAGTACCAATTCCTCAGTACCTGGTTGTGCGTGTTGTACTGGACATAATGTGTGAAGTAGGTGTGTAATAGGTGCTTTTGGAGAAGAGATGAGCTACCCATTGCTGTAACGTACTTGCAAGTGTGATTCCTGTATAGCAATGGGAAGAGCTCTAGCTAACAGGGTTATGTATGGTTGCAGTGATGGTGAGCTAAAAATCTGATGTTCCTACAGTATTAGGACCATGCAGTCACTTGAATACTCTGTTAGGTTTGAAATGTTGCATAATCTTATGGGTAGGTAAAGCACACTCTGGGAAGCTGTGCTACTGCATGATGAAAGCTGCTTCAAGAAAACATGGTTAAGTGCCAGAAAATAATAAATAGTGATAATTTTGTGCTGGGGGAGAGAGAGAAAACTAAGGAAACATAAAAGGTGTCTTTAAATGCTTCCTGCTGAGCAGTGAATTAGTTCTGGCAAGCGAATGTGGTTTTGTGGTTAAAGACATTGTTGTGGCAGGTGTCTTTGGGTGGTGCTTTTAGTTAGTATTCAAAGTTATTTCTTAAGGTGCAGAGCTGAAGCTGGAGAAGCCATCTTTGGTAGCATTAGGTTTGTGTTTTTTTGTTGTGCAGCGGTTTCTTTGGAGGCAGTGGTTGTGAGAGCAAAGAAGTTTTAAGAGCAGTAGGTTTTCTGTCTTGGCCACTGACTAAAATAAATTGTGCCTGGGAGTTGTCCTCTGTAATTGCCATTTGGCTGAGATTCATGAAGGAGTGGAGTAACTGCAGACTGGTTGACTACTGGACTTGCTTTATGTGTGTCAAGTTATACTTCACATATGCCTGGACAAATTTTATCTGCTTTCTCCTACAGACTTGTAAGGTCCAGAACATCTGCTGCTACTTGGCAAAGAGCGGACTCTCCCATTTCTGTGGGAAGAAGGGATGGCGATGTTTATTCACTGATGTATTTAGTGGATCTTCCACCACCTGTGCTGTTAAGCCTGAGCTCAGCAAGGTCTTTAAACAGTGCCTGCACGTGGTCTTGTTCAAATCAAAATTCTTAGCTTCTCTGCTCTCTGCACAAGAGAATGCAGATTAAAATGCAGATTAAAGCTCGTAGCGTTGGTACTCATTACAAGTGTGGTTGCAGGATGGGCTGTACTTGAGGAATGAAGAGCTGGTACCTGAAGGGCTGCTTTCTGCTGGGGTCTCTTTATTTAGTTTGGGGTTAATTAGCAGTGGGTATTAGAGCTGATTCCTTCTCACAGAACCCCAAGAGAGGAGACATAGCAGGTGCAAAGGTGCTCTTCCTGAAGCACGCTGGGATTCAGAAATAAAACCAGTTGCATTGTCAAATCACCGTTTTGGGCAAGCTCTTCCATCCCAGCTCGGTTATTCCAGGCTGTCCTGGAGTGAGAAGGCTGGGAGTGGCCCAGGGGAGGGCCGGTGCTAGCATGTCATGAAAATAGCTCTTGTTGTGTTGGTGAGGAGGCAAAGGAGGACTTATTTTCCTGGCTTCTAGCATGTGAAATATACATTTAATGTATGTGAAGACATAATGTAGTGGTGTATAGGAAGCATCTTTGGTGTTCATCCTTGTCTTGCAAAAGGGCATTTATCCTTACCTTCTCCTATCTCAACTTTTACTAGATTATTATATTTCCTTACTAACTTGTCTGTAGTAGGATAATTTACTGTGTGCATGTCAGGATACATTAGCAGACTAGTTTACTTGTTTAAACTGTTCAGTGCTGTGAGGTAAGATCCCAAAATTTATGATTAGGGAAAAAAATTAATTGCTTAAAGATGATTAACTTTGCTTTGCTCAGGGCATATGCTTTATGTGTATGTAAATATTTGTAAAGAAATGCAATTCACTGAAAAAAACACAATTTGCAGAGTTTCAATTGTTGAATTTAGAATTTGGTCACTGTCCACTGCAAATGGATTTATTTTTCCCCAAATACATATAGGTGGCACTGTTGGTCTATGTATAATACCAGTATGTAGAAGGTGGCTTTCTAGCAGTTTCTCAGACATTTTAAATTTGGGGTATTTGAAAGTGCTGGTGCTGTGCAGTGTGGATTTTTGATGATTCTTGGTATCTGTTGTTAGAGTTGCTGCAGCAAGCTTCCCCTGGTTACTCCCAGGCAGGATGCTAGAGGCACTGCCTGCTTCCAAACCCTGTGATTGCTTCAGTGTCAATCTGTTTAGATGGGAATTTGGAGAAGAGCACCACCTTACTTTAATCTTTGTAAGGGTTCATTTTTGAAAACTAATTGAACAGGAGGCAATTAAATGAAGTTGACATAGCAAGATAGTGTGTGGGAATCGATAAAACCACTGGTTTTACCTTGCTTAGGTAGGAAAGCAAAAAGCTAGAGGTGCTTTATGGAGAAGGCTCCCAGGGATGACAGAGCATGTCCAGGGAGGAAAAACCTAGGGGAGGGAATGGAGAAGCAGGGACAGGTTGGAGCAGGAGCAAACTGGAAGCAAGGGCGAGGGGAAAAAACAAAATAGCTGTGTGAAGAAAAGGGCTTTGTATTCATCATAACCGGAAAATAGCCAAAACCTGTGGAAGTATTATTTAACAGAAAAGTAGTTCTTTAATATTTGGTCAAACTCAGAACTGATGTTGCTGTCTCTGGGGCAGGATGTGGACTAACTGCTACTTTTTCTTTCTTTTCATTCTTCCTTTCCCCTCAGTGTTCAGGACAAAGATGGAGTGCTGGATCCTGTAGCCATCCCTCGCTTCATTCCAGAAATCACAATTGGAGGCAGTGAATATGATAAAATCTATTATGAGTATCGATCGGTAAGTAATACTGGAAGGGGAGCAGTTGTGTGATAGCCAGGCAGGTGTCCCTGCCAAGCTGTAAGTGCATTCATAACTGTCCTGTGCACAGCCAGGTGTCAATCTCGTGCACAGCCAGGTGTCAATCTTGTGCACCGGGATGCATATTTCTAAGAGTAAGTTCTGGATTTCGCCCAGATCCCCACCTTTTTTTGAAGTCTAGCTTCCCCACAAGAGGAATTATGAAGCAAAAGGTTTGTTTTGTAAGCCGATTTTCTTTTTTGATCTTTAGATGTGGACTAAAGGATAAGTGGTTTTCATTTGTTTTTGTTTCTCCTGCCCCGATTAGTCTCTGACCTCTGAAATCTAAAATAATCCTTTGAGTCAAACAAGAAAATTGGAAACCCATGGTGACTTCTATAAAGAAGACCGCTTATAAAATGCTGAGGGAGGGGGTGTTTTTTCTAGAGTAGGCTGAGGAGGTATGAATGTTACATTGCTTCTCAAAACTGTTGTTGCTTTAAATAGTGTGTTTCTGTACATGGGCACACATCCAAAGCCTGTTGTGGCCCAGCGCTCTCTTACACCTCATGCAGGCTCCCACACAATGTTTTAATTAGCTGCTTGCCTTTCTGATTCTGGAGACAACGGCTTCCAGTTGACTTAGCCCTTTGCCCTATCGCCTATTGTTATTTAGCTGGCATGGGGTGCTCTTGCACCACATGGTATCTTCCTAAGGCCCAGGTATTGTAAATTCTCATTAGAGAAATTGTGGAACTGATGATACTTAATACTGATTAGACAAACTGAAGTTACAGGCGATGGTATGTTTTAAAGTTGGGTGGAAATCTTCACTGCCATTGTTTTCAAGCAATCACTGAAGACAAAGGAAGGAAGTTCTATATAAATTGTTGTAAACAATTATTTTCATAGTCAAAACACTATCGTTTTTCTGGTCCTGGTAGTATACAGTCTCTTACTGAAATTAAAATGTAAGCTACAGGTTTGTGGACTTGTTTGGAAACTCTGAACTACCAATGTTTTCTTCTGGAATAGTCAGTTCAGAAGTCCCTGTGAATATTCAATGTAATTTGTTCCTCCTCAGCTAACTATGTAGTGGAGAGGCTCCTGGGTCTGCCTCATTTGAGATGTAGTCTTTCCAGCTTGTAAAAGGGGCTAAAGCTAAAGGTTAAAGTAGCAGAAAGCATCTTGGTACTGCTTGAGGTTGTTTAATGGGTTTGAAAACTCCCTGGTCCATCTGACAAATTCCTATCAGAGTTTCGTGCTTATTGGTATCACATTTTTAAGTCCAGAACTTCAAGCTCAGACTAAGGGGTTTTGGAGTCCTTTACTCCAAGAGATGTCTGTGTGTGTGCAGCACATATTTCAGAAGGATCTGCTGCATGACTTGTCGCCAGCATGCAACATCCATCTGTACTGACAGTGCCTTTCTTCCCAAAGATGATAGGGGTTTTTGGCTGAAATGTCACTTTGCAGTGGAGCTGGGAATTACTGAGGCTGCCTGACACACAGCTAGATGTGACCTCAGTGTTGCATGCTGAGAACCAGTGGTAATACTTCTGAAAGCCTTTTTTCTCCTCTAGCTGTACAACAGCACATTCCTCTTTGTGCTGGCAAGAAACTGAGAATGCCCTGGCTCATCAGATAGCTGGCTTCCAGGAAAAATTGTGACTTCCCTTGCAGATGTAGCGAAGGGATGCTTAGGAGTAGGAATATGAATACCTGGGAAGGAAAGCTGTGCTCTTGGATTGCTCTGCCCGATGCCAGTTAGTTGACAGCAGAAGCTGAGCACTGTCAGTGCAAAAAACCATTGCCAAAATATAATCTCCCTTCTGCAGGCACGCTTTTAGGCCCTGATTCAGGAAAGTACTGTGGAAAGTGATAATGTCCTTTGGAATAAGGAGGAGTTGTACATTTCATGAAACATTCTGTTAAATTCAGGCAATGCTAACTACTCTTTTTCTCTCTTCTGAATGCTTAGACATGTGTAATCCTTCAGGGATGAGGGGGGGCTGTCTGTAGGGATGGTGTGCAATGCAAAAGATGCTGAGTTTTGCTACTTCCCGTAAGCTACTGGAAGGGGAAGCACAAAACCAGCCCCACCTGCTGTTTTATGTTCCAAGAATTATTTGTGTTGAAACTTTGAAGACCTGTGTTGTTTCCCTCAACTTTGTTTAGCAAATGAAGGTGTGAATTTCTTTGTAAGACAAGGCTTATATTCAGAGGTAATACAGCATGAGATCAACCAGTGCAAGCGGAAAAAGCAGATGAACTTCTAGACATACAAATCTTGGCTATGAGGTTGCTGGGTCTAACGAGAGGGAATCATAAGCCCTTGCCTTGCCCATGTCTATGCAGGGATGGTTACAGCTGTGCTACCACTTTTGCATTTGAAGACAGATAAAGATTTTAGGCTCACATGACTTCTAAGTAAAGAGTTAATTATGGTATAATTACAGAACTTTAACTTTTCCTTGTGGGAAATACATGCTTTTAAAGTTAGTGTAATGATGTTTACCACATAAATACAATGATTTGCGTAGGGGATTTTTTCCTCAGCAATCCTATAATTAGTCATAAATCCTTGATCGTACCAATAGGCAGCTAACTCCTGTGCTTTTGAGAGTTGCATGCACACAATTCATGCTGCCTAATAACGGTGGTTTTCAGGGATTCGCAAATTCCAGGCAGAAGGTGGTTTTTGTTCAAAATATTCATTAGTCAGAAGCAACTGAGAAGGAAGAGGAGGAGGAAACACTCTTCAGAGTCCAAGATTTTAGTATGTGTGCCTTTTTGCAAAATAATGAGGTAGCCACATACAGCTCTGAATACTAGAAACTTGCTTTTTTATGTATATCCTCTGAATTTCTTCTGTAAGTGTTCTTTTCACATGTGAGGAGGTGGCTTTCTGCCTCCTTCTATTACCATAAAGTCATCTGGCAGAGTTCAGCCGTTCTGTTCAGGCATTCATAAACTTCTAAAGATGCTTTTCTGGCAAGGGAAAAGTAACCTTTTAGTCAGGTTCTGTAGATCACAGAGATAAGCGTGTTCATTCGTAAGTGAAGCAACATTATTTTAGGAACTGTCAGACTAGTAAAGACTTGACTACTCTTTTTTTTTCTTTTTTTTTTTTCTTTCTTAACAACTGCTGTATCTCTCTGCTTTCTTCCAACCATGCACAATCCCCACGGATAATGCTCCAAACTCCATGTGCACCCTGTGAAGCTGGAGCACTTAGGCAGATGTGTTTGCAGAGAAGACGAAAACAAATGGTTCTGTTTAATGGAATCAGTGTACTTAAATAATGTACTTATGTACTTCACACTCCCAAATGCTGTTGGCAAGTCCTGCTGAATCTCCTAGGGGTGGTGAAAAAAGCCTTCTTTTATCTGCATGCTCTTTTCTGTATACATAAAAGTGCAGCTGTCTAAGATTCATATTCAAGTCATCACCTACATCTTTACCTCTGAAAACAAAGCTGGAGAACTTTAAAATAGTCTTTGCCACCTCTCCCTTCACTGCAGATCATAAGAAAATGATCAGCATTTCATTTATATAAACTTTGTGCTTAAAAATACAAAAAACTTAGTGGGCTTGCTTATCACAAGGTGTACCAGAGCCTGGAGTCCAGTGCTTGCTGATCCTGTTCACTCCAGGCGCTAGAGTGGTGAATTCCTTCACTAGAACAGGTGAAAGCAAAATGGTTAAAACCTAGTCTTCTTCCTCATTGCATCAGTCCTAGCAGAAAGCATTTGTGCTAGCCCACTCACCTGAACCCTGGTTCATGCAACCCAGCTCCTCTGTTTGTCCAATGGCTTGCCCCAACATCTTTAAACACAGATCTAAGAAATCATGAAGGAGAAAAGGGCTATTTTTATTAGTGGCTAAAAACTGTGACTTGCATCTCATGCTCTAGGATTTGTTTGGTTTTTTTTTTTCCCATCTTTTCTCTGAGCAGGTAAGATTGTGCAGTGGGAGGAGTATCCTATCCTCTTTCTAGTTTACTGGAATTCAAGCATATGTGCTGGTGTGTATATTAAAGAAAATGACCAAATGCTTGGGCATACAGACTCTTCTTCAGACAAGACAGGCCTAGGCACCTAGAAGTTCCTTTTGTACTAAGGCAAGTCCCATATCAAAATGTTGTATCTTTTGTTAGCCTAATTTATACAATCAGATAAAAGGAAGTCAGGGATGTGTACCTTACCCTTGAAGCAGACAGTTGTGATGAATTTTTTGAAGAATTTATTCCACGCTATTGAGCTACCTTCAAAGATGCTTCATATCCCAATATGACTTCCAGCTCCAGTGAGTGCATGTGCTTGTGTGTAGGGCTTTCTTAGATCAGTTTTAGTTGTCATCTTTCAGTCTGGAGTGTCCTTTTGCTCTTGCATTGAAACGGTGAGCCACGTGCTTCCCTTCCTTTCTTTACCCTCTTATTGCTTTTCCCCCACCATGCACTGGCTATTTGCTGATCCTGGCATACTTCAACTTCCATCCATCGGCTCCTTTCCTTGATGGTTCTCATTGTCCTCCTTTGAACCATCTAATTGTGCAATGTGCAAAGTTTATCTCACCGCAGAAAGCAATGTGTGCTGTATTCACCATGTGAGGAAAGCAGAGGCTTATTTGGCGGTGGTAATGATTCTGCTTTGTCCGTCCTTGTCCGTGCAGCTCCATATTAAGCAGAGACAAAATGAGCGGCTCAGATTTTTCTGCCTAACGTTTAACTCAAGACAGCAAATAAATATGCCATTGAAAGGTAAGAGAAGGCTCTCATTTTATTTTCCCCATCCTTTTCCCTTTGTGGAAGACTGCTTTTGGAATATGGGGATGCTGACCATGAGGCGAGGCTTGCTAACCTAGCAGGGATTGGGTTTTGGTTTTTTTTGGTTTTGTTTTTATTCCTGGACTAGTCTTAAGCTAGACTGCCAAACTGAACAGGTTGCTGGGGCTAGGTGAATACCGGAGCTGTGGAAGGGCAGTAGCAGCAGCATGTG